TGAGGGTTGCGATCCCGTTGCCGGTCCCGGTCCGGTACGGGGGCAACACTGAGGGTTGCGATCCGTTGCCGGACACGGAAAAAAGACGAAAGACAAAAATAAATAAATAAATAAAAAATAAAAAAAATAAAAAATAAAAAATGGTAAACCGAACCCTCGGCGGGAGCGCCACCATGCTTCCCAAGTGGCGCACTATAGCAGTGCGCCACCAGGCCGGCCCTCTAGGACATTTAAAAAATGGTAAGTCCGAGGGTTCGGATCCCATATGCAGACCGGTTCCCGCTCACTGGCTGAGCGAGGCGCGGGAGTAGCGCCGAGGCTTGCGATCCCGTTGCCGATCCCCGGTCCGGTACGGGGGCAACACTGAGGGTTGCGATCCGTTGCCGGACACGGAAAAAAGACGAAAGACAAAAATAAATAAATAAATAAAAAATAAAAAAAATAAAAAATAAAAAATGGTAAAATTTTTGTCTCCTTTCTTAATTAGCACAGATAATTATGACCTCCACTTAATATACATTAGTCAGTTAAACAACTCAGTATTTCACCAAATTAAAAGCAATAATTATATCAGAAATTTTAAAGCCAAAGGAAAAAAGATAATACAACTAACCTTGGTCAAGTAGTTCTCCAAGCTGTCATTTGAAGGCTGTGAGGTTGAGGTAGGAACCACTGAGTTTTCTCTTGGAATAAGATTTCTGTTGAGCAGTAGATGATTATTAAGAATTCCAACACTAGGAGCCTCCAGGACTGGTCTCGTGGTAAGAGTAAGAGTGCTGAGTAAAGATCTGTTCTGCTGTTTCTCCATGAGAAGTTGGGTATTGACCTCCGCTAGCCTCTCATTAGTACTGTGAAGATAAAAATAGACAAATGTTTAGTATTTCATTTTTCCTTAAATGATTCCTAAATGATTTGCACTCTTTAAAGCTGCCATAATAGTAAGTGGGATTTCCCGTTAAACAATGTTTTAACACTGAAAATGTGTCAAAGCATACCTACTGCATATAATTATAGGTTTAAAATCATTGTAAACAAATATACATATTTCTAGGGGGATTCCTGATGAGTAATTCAAACAAAGTAGGGAAGGGAGAGAAATGGCTATCAATGACGTATGGCTTAACAGGTAACAAATTGCTCTATGTAGAAGATTCTTGAGGATGCCACTAGAAATACTTGTTTTTAAAGGGTAACTATTTAAGATGATGGATATGTTAATTTGCCTGACTATAATAGCCATTCCACTATGTATAAATATACCAAAACATCATTTTGTACTTTTTAAAATATATACAATTAAAACAAAATTTTTAAAAACTAGAAATATGTGCATTTAGTAAACCAGTTTAGAGATTTAAAAAATCATGCCTCAATGACGTTTTCAAGCATTTGCTTTCACCACCTTAGTGCATTTCACCCATTACCTGGGAGAAATGAAGCATTTGGCACTAAGGAAGAATTCAGAGCAGCAACCTCTAGGGGAGAACAAGATAGCTGAGTTGGCCATCACAGTGCACTGACACAGCTGCAAAGGTAATTAGCTCATAACATTGTTACCAAGGCATAGAGGTGGGACCTGCCTTTTCTGTCTTCCACACAACCCATCACACTAAGGCATTATTTTTAGCCACTGTGTGAATTATACTACCCTTCATTTCTATGTTAATCTTTCCCTATTTCACAAACATGCTTTTATGTGAAAAATCTATAAAGAATAGTTTGTCTCAAGGCGCCCTCTAGTAATAATACCAAAGACACTATCAAGAAAAGTTAATTTCCCAAGTGCCCGAATGTGCCATGAGTAAGAAGTACTTGACCCGTTCGGTTTAAGTTGTAATCTTTCAAAAAATAGTTAAACTCATTAATATTTCTATTTAGAGAAATGCTGCCAAGCAACTTTATAATAATATCACTATCTCAATTGTAACCCTTCAAAAATACTTAGCTGAAAGACTAGTAAATCAGGTTAACTATTTGAGAATACTAAGGGAAAAAACTAAACCCATATAAAACTAAAAAGAGGGCGTGAGACAGAAACTGTCCTAAACTAACATTTTAAAGGTAAGTTCATTTATTAACATCATTTTCCAAGATTATACTGTCTAGTTATCTTTCACTTCCTACTAATTTCATGAACCTGTCTCACTAAAAAATTATGCTTTGGAGGCAAATTAATGAGCTTAATTTATTGGCGATGATTTTATGTTTTGACTTACTTGTTTAGTTTATTTGACAATGATTTTCTAGCTTTTAGTTCTTCTAGATAGAGTTGCTTATATTTTACCAATTCTGTTTTATTAGAATCTTCTTGAGAAGTTTTCATTTTGAAGAGTTCAGATTCTAGATCTTTAATTCTGAGTTCCATCTGACTTCTTATTGAAGCATTATTATTTTCTCTTAACTTCTCTAAGTTTTCTTGAGATGCTGCTTGTGTCTAAAGCAAATGAAAAGGATACATTTTTAAAATAATTGTAACCTGAATAATTATTGTGCATTTGCTTACTTTAGTTTTGAATCAGTGATTCAGAGGGCAATTTTAAATATGTGAAAAAAGAAGCTGAAGTTTAAAATATTCATCATCAGTGTCAACTGAGTTAAATCTAAATTATAAAAAAAGTTGAATCATTCTTATGTTATTATTCACATAATCTGATAATTCAAAGAACAGATTTAGTTTCATATTTTAAAAATTGAGCAATGTAACTTAACAATTCAAAAGTATAATTTCTAAATCACCATTTTTTCTTTTCCTCCTAATAATCTTGTTTTATGCCAACTATCTTAAGACTCAAGATCAGTCTAGTAATAATGATGAAACTGAAATAGTTAAAGGGAGAAACAAGCCACCCTCCTTCTAGAAATCTCTAAAACAAACAGCTATAAGAGAAGTACAGGAAACACAATGTATATATCCAAAATATAATTTGCAGTGAAATGAATTAGAGCACATTACAGATAAATAAATTAACCTGTAAAAATAGATTGACTTCTTTTAATTTTTCTACTATATCCTGTCTTGCTCTTTCTTCAATTTCCCGTTTATACTGTTCAACTTGACCACATTCTACCATGTTCATTTCTATGTGACTTTTGAGGTTTGCTACTACTTCTTCCAACTTCTTTTTCTTCTTCTCTAGTTTTTCACATTCTTTTTGTATTTTTCTCATAGATAATAACTCTTGTTGAAGAACTTGATTCTTTGCATCCAGATGCAGACATTTTGAAGATGCAGTTTCCAGTTGTGCTGTAAGATCATCAACCTGCATGATTGAAATAATATGGTTTGATAATAAAGGAATTAATTGCAAAACAATGTTATGTGTACTGTAATTAGATTCTTAGAATGTAGATCTTTGAATTACTCAGAAAATCAAGAACAAAATTAAAACCAGGAGGAATCATGAAAATACATTCCTTAGTCTCATCATCTTTGCCACACAATATCTGGACTTGATCTTACACTCTTTTATTTTTCTATGACTGCCTATCTTTCCTCCTTAAAAATGACTCTAAGTCACCTTGTAGTAGAAAGTCTCTTATCCCTTTCCTCCATTCTCACCCCCCAAAATTTCTAACAAAGTTTTAGGGACACTATATAGAGTTACTTAGGACTGAGTCAGTGACTGCCTATCTTTCCTCCTTAAAAATGACTCTAAGTCACCTTGTAGTAGAAAGTCTCTTAACCCTTTCCTCCATTCTCACCCCCCAAAATTTCTAACAAAGTTTTAGGGACACTATATAGAGTTACTTAGGACTGAGTCAATAAATGGCTCCCAGATTAATTCTTTGAAAATAAGACTCTAATTAATAAATGTTGTAAATATGGATTCTAATGCCACAAGCCTTTTTCTAAACTGTTTTATATTAATTTGAATTGTATACCAAGAATAACCTAATAATTCCCAGGGTTAAGGAGCAAGCATGTCTCCCAGTATAAAAGTTTAGTGACATGGTCCACACATTTTTTTGAACAATCATCTTATCCTTTGTTACTTGCCACAAAATAAGAGAGCATACTAAACAACAACAAAAACCTGCTGAAATTTCAGTGGTACTGAGTTAGGAAAAAATACTTTCCTTTAAATATAATAATTATTTGATAAGAAAGGTTTTAAAACTACCTGATTTTTAAGTGCTGCACCCCTAAACATTTTTCTTTGGATGGGTTAAATTATTTACTCTGTGAATCATGCATTGAGCTATAAACTATAGCTATGCATCTCTATTTGTTTAAGTGAAAGGAGGTGAATACAGGGACCTGTGGTTTCTGAGAATTCTGGATCCTTGCTGAGAAATGGATCAGCCCCAGTGTTATCATCAACGACCAGGTACTGGGTCAAAAGAGGACCTAATTGTGAACTGCAAGAAGATGGATCAGCTCGATTTCCAATGAGGAAAGCTGACAGCCCAGACTTAATCTTTTCCTTCCTAGATGGTAAAAATTTATGAATGATTCTATGAATTATAATAAGTTAATAAAACAATGTGGTAAATAGCACACTGAGTTGGCAGATCCTCTGACCAAGATTTGATGGAAATGGGAATGAAGAGGGAGGCAATGGGTGAGAAACTAAAGGTGTAAATGAAGAAAAGAAAATGAATGAACTCTATCTTTGTAAGCCTGACTTCTCNTGTTGTTACATAAGACACAACATGATTGGAAAAGAATTCTCCTAAAATTTGATTTGAAACTGGCATAAGAATAGACATATAGATTGATTTATTAGAACTGAGAATGCAAATATAAACCCACATATTTCTTAACTGATTTTCAACAAGGGTGCCAAAACCATTATATGGGAAAAGAACAGTCTTTTCAACAAATGGCATTGGGACAACTGGATATCTAAATGCAAAGAATAAAGTTGGACTCCCACCAAATACCATACATAAAATTTAACTGTAAATATAACAGCTAAATGTAAGAACTAAAAGTATAAAAGTCTTAGAAGAAATCATAGGCTTAAATCTTTGTGAATGGATTTGGCAGTAGTTTCTTACATATAACACCAAAAGAAAAAAATAGATTAACTGGACTTCATCAAAAGTAAAAATTTCTTTGGTTGAAAAAACTCCATCAAGAAAGTGAAAAGGCAAGCCAATGAGTGGAAGAAAATATTTGAAAATGCTTTATATGATAAGGAATTTATATAGAGGATAAGTAAAGTATTCTTTCAATTAAAAAATAAAAAGAGGGCCGGCCCCGTGGCGCACTTGGGAAAGTGCGGCGCTGGGAGTGTGGCAACGCTCCCGCCAAGGGTTTGGATCCTATATAGGACTGGCCGGTGCGCTCACTGGCTGAGCACGGTGCAGGCGACCCCACACCAAGGGGACCCCTTACCGGTCACGAAAAAGACAAAAAATAAAAAAAAATAAAAAAAATAAAAAGACAACCCAATTTAAAAATTGATAAATGATTTGAATAGACATTTCTCCAAAGAAGATGTACAAATGGCTAATAAGCACATGAAAAGATGCTCAATGTCATTAGTTGTTAGGAAAAGATGCTCAACGTCATTAGTCATTACTAAAATGATTAAATCCACAGTGAGATACCACTTTACACCACTAGGATGGAATCTGTTTTCAATCAAAACATGGAAAATAGGGCTGGCCCGGTGGCGCACTGGATAGTGCGCCGCTTGGGAAGCGCGGTGGCACTCCCGCC